TATCACCAGGCTGTAGAATGTTTGACTGAAACAGGGGCCATGGATCCGCAGACTTGCAATATGGTCATTCAGCGCTCCCGCAATCCTCATAGTAACTTATGATTTTATGCTGAGAAAGCTTTGCTCCTACATCTGAAAATACATTCCAGCTGCATGAAATTGAAGGTATTTTGATATCATATCCTCCATTATTCAATTGCCTGTTAGATCTCAATTTATTTGTCCAGGAGTTCGGCCCCTTATTCCTGCTATATAAGATCTTCCATGCTCAATTTCACATGGAAAATGATCAACTATGTTCAAAATATTTTTTAGCATATTTTTAGGTAGAGCTACATAGTTATTTTTCCCAATTATGCATGTTAATTCCAGCTCCATGACCATCAATTACATAGAATCTCTTCCATCATTTCAATCACCTGTCAAATTTCTATCTTTTGTGCCCCCCTGTTCCTGCTGATTCCTTGACAAACACCAGGAAGACAGATTAAGCACCCAAATACATGAGTACTTTGGTTCACATCAAACCATGTGAAAGACTTAGCCAGCCAGGTCACCCAGCTTCCATGTTTCATCACAAGTTAAAACTTGCAGTTGATTCAACTCCCAATAGCAATTGCCTAAACACCAATCGTAATTTGGTACAGATAAAGATCCTGACCTCAGTTGAATTTGGCAGGACTGCTTAAAAAAGGGGCACAATTTGAGGGGTTTGACATCTCATCCAGAATCAGTAAGTCCTTAATGCAGGATAGGAAGTGGAAAATGCATATGATATGTATAGAAGATTGTATCATGTGTGGTTTTCAGCTGCTAACTCAAATTGATCATCATGAGTTTACCCTGGTTAACAAGCTCAATGAACATCAGAAATCTCTTTTTTATTTGCATATAGGAAATATGGCAAGGTTGATTCCAATCATACATATCTCATTGGATCGGACCAGACAAAGCCACAATTTCTGTGAATGCATGTGAAGTGTTTTCTGTGGGTGAAGTTGGTCCGAAATGGATCATCTCCTATGACAAGTCATCAGCTGTAATAATGCTTTGGATGTGACTGCTTGACAGATATTTTAAGGGGTAACCTTCTCTACCTGGGCTTACATCAATATTACAGCTAGGATAATCAAAACCCCCTTAAACTTCTTTTTCAAAGCTTCCCATCCTACTCCAGAAGAACCATCAAATATCAACTCACTTGATGGAACCAGATGACCTTGAAGACCATGATTCTGCAGAGAGGATGTCTGTAACCAATTGTCACCATCAGCGGTGGGCCGCTACGCTTTTGGCCCAAAAAGTGTAGCGTAGTGACGCTTTTTTTGCACCAAAAAATGTAGTGTTAGCGGTTTTTAGCGGATTTTTGCTACGCTACGCTGCGCTACAAGCCGCTAACAGCGCTACAGGGCCAAAAAACCGCTATGCAGCATGTTAGTGTAGCGTAGTGGGCCCTTTTTTGGGGCCTATTTGCGTAGCGTTAGTGCAAGATGTGGCGGAATTCCGCTATGCTGCACTAAAGTTTAGCGGAATTTACGGTTAGTGTAACTGGCCCACTGTTGTCACCATGCCCTCCAAATTGAATAAGCACAGATTTTCATCTCTAACCATTGCATGGAATATGATATTTCCTATGATGCAGTTCCTGATGCCTTAGTATTTGTAAAATTTGTACAATGCACTTGGGTAGAGATAATTCATTCTTGTTTTGGAAATATTTCAACTTTTGTGTATTGACAATTATAACTGCAGATCTCAGCAGAATCCATGGCTGGAAAACCAAACATGAACACAGATTACACATGAGCACATTTAATTGTTGGGGAAATTAACACAAAGGTCACAAGGATGATGAGCACAACCCCACTTGAGTTTAATTTATTCTTTGGATGATACTTTCAGGAAAGAAAATCCCCCCCCCCTGACTTTATCTTCCTAGATTGTCATTTTTTACTTTTAATAACATATATTTGGGCTGTTTTTCCTGGGTGGGACCAGCTTAAATTCATTGTGATCAGCAAAAATACAAAACTTTCTGGGTTGAGAATATTGCACATTTTTAATTAACTTGATAATATATCCAAATAATAATCAAAGGATTATAATTGCATATTTCTTTGTCAATAAAGCCAAATTCATAAGGACTCATTCCATTTTTGACTCAAATATATCTCCATAAATAATGACTACAGTTGTGCGCGGCATTGTACTTTATAGGGCTTTGGGATGTCCGAATGGTTGGGACCCAAAATTTGGAAAAAATTGAGTTTTTTTGTTAATTTCTGGGGGGTTGAGACGTCAATCTGACATCCACGCTGCTGTAATTGAGCCAGCTGATGTACTTTTGAGCATATACATTGGCTTTAAGCTTATGTGTATGGGCTTAGGCTGACATATAGACATATAAGTATGGGTTTATGGTGTCAGCCTATCACATATTTATGTACTTAGGCCCCCATAATTGGCCTGTGACCGAATGGTCCGGTGAAAAAAAGAGTTTTTTTTTGTTTGGCTGGACCAAATTGGTCGCCGATTTAGATTTGAAATCTACACACCTTGTAGACTCCAAAAATGTATTCTTTAAAGGTGCCGGACCCCCGTCGGGGGGAGAGGTTTAACCCCGCGCGACCTAATCAACATTTGCGGGTGGCCTTGTACAGTACAATGCCGCGTGCCACTGTATTTCTGAAATGTGTGAGTTATTGGTGACATAATATATGAACACTGCTTAGTTTTTTGTAGCTAATTCATCAATCATGTATTTGGAAACTTAAATTTGATTTTACCTTCCCCAGATCAATAATCTTGGGCTGAATGCATTCTTTTCTGAACTGGGTCTCCTTTTCAATTTTTCTATTCTGTTTCAAATACCTGCACTGATGCCAAGCATTAATAGCTGATACTTCAATTTTTGATAGATCTCTGGATCCGACTCCCATTCCTTCAGTGGGAATGGGAGGGGCGACTCCCACATGCTAGGGGGACCAGAAATAAGGGGGCCAGGACGTCCCTCTATGGTTCCCCCGCGGTCCTCTAGACAACTCCCAAAAATGGGAGTCGGAGCTCCCATTTTTGGGAGTTGTTTGATCAAGTACCTAAAAATATTTCCATAAGATTTTGAGATAGATCTGAGATCAATATCAAGAAAAATCCAAATTATACAAGGACAGAACAGCTCACCTCTAATTTCCAATTTCTGATTATATCCTTACCTGTAAAGAGAACTATGATTATTACCACAATTTGTTTTTAGTCAAAGATTTAGTAATTCAGGAAAACAGAATGGATTATCTTGATCATTTAGAGTCTCTTGCCTGGGGGAATGCTCTACCATAAGTTTCTTGAAATTCAACTTTTGCATTTACTCATAATAATCTTCATTAATGTCTGACTTTTCACCACTTGTAGAACCCTACCTTCCCTTGGAGTTCACCAGGTGTCATGAGGGACACAAGGCATGTCACAAGCTTTTACTTAGTTTGATCTCAGTATTTATTCACATATAAAGAAACAGACCATGGGATGATCTGAAGCATTGAAATATGTACATTTCCTACATACAGAAATTGTCACTGAAATGCCTCCTTTTCAAAAAAAGAAACAAGAAATTGGCTTGGGATAAGGAACATATACATACTCCTAAAGAACCTGTCAACTGATGGTTTTCAAACCAGGGCATTAGGGCATGACCCTCATGAACTAACAATGAGAGCAAGCAATAGCAAACCTACAGAGAAATGAAGATGAGAAAGACAACACAAGAGAGAGAGAGAGAAGAGTGAGCGAGAAAGAAGCAAAACGGAACTGGCGACGAGCAAGACAAAATGAAGAATAGGCGAGTGAGACACCAGGACAAAAAGAGGGAGAAATTGAATGAGAAAAAGAAAAACAACATTTAGAAGAAATGAAAAGATCTTTTATATATTCAATGTATTCCCCTTTAGGTTTTCAACCTTGTCCATCTCACAATGCCACGTGCCTGGCTGCGCCGCATTGGGGTGAGAATGAACCCCCAAGCTGTAAGTTCAACAATTCCCTATAGGACAGTTAAGAAGTGCCTTGAAATTTTGAGAGATGAATTGATACATTGAATATCCTCACTTTCTCTGAGAGTCCAGTAGTAGACTGCTAAGCAAAGTGTGAGGTATGCAAAGAGATTTTTTTTTGAATATCTTCTATTGGCAACCAGTAGTGGTAGACTGACTTATGTACAAGTTACAGGCACAATATTGGTAATTGAGTAACCAGAATCTGCAAGGTGGAAAAAATGAACAGAGACAAGATGAAAAAGTCCCATGATTTTCATTTTTTCTTGAGGTGCATTGATCAGAGAATCAAGTATGTTGATCAAGTTCTCACCTTGTTTTTTTGTCTTGCTTGGCTCATTTTAGCTCATTAAAAAACACACCTGCCCTGCACTGAGGAGCACAATGGTAAACATAAACCAAGTTGGTGAATGCCTGTGTTGGTTTTCAGTTTTCTGCTGTCCCAGGAGATTAGTACCCATTCAACTCATTATGTTGTGGGGGTCATTTGTTTTCCAAAAAGAGGCAGTGCAAAACCAGAACTGAGCAATATGCACATGGAAAAGAGAGGGGACTATTATCCTTTCTGCATCTTGCAAACTCTGGCCCCTCCTGTTAAATAAATTCCATGAGGAAAGCAGCCTGACATTAACAGAATATAGGTTATATTTAGTTAAAGATACAGACATGTATGTGATTGCATTCAGAAAAATTTGGGTACGCTACATTAGAGAACAATCAAGATTAGGCAAACTGGAGTAGAGGTAAGGATAATATTAATGTGATGTTGTTTTGAGTAGTTATTCAAGAACAGGTAACCCAAAAGTTTATTGAATTAAACCAGTACATTATTATTATTTTGATTATTTTATTTGAAAAAAGGACAGTGAGAAATTTTGATGGGTGAAAAAACAATCATTTCGGGGGTTGCACAGATAATTATGTGAAGGGTTGGAGTGCGGGCAAATTGGAAGTTTACGCGTCAGGGGAATCCTTTTTCCTCAGCTTTTTGGTGGGTGACCGGCCGACGTAGCCGCCGGGGTAGAGATGCTTAGACTTCACCTTGACCAAACCGCCAATTTTTCCGTTCGACTTTTGAAGCATGAGCATGTTGGTCAGGCTGGGTGTCATACCTGGACGGCAATGCTTCTTTTCGTTCGACGGGGCTGTCGCGAAGATGGGCTCGGGAGGTGGGTGAACTTCCCCTCGTTCTCCTCCAGTCGATTTACGAGTGTCTCACCGAGTTGGTCCCAGAAGTTCGGGGACACGAATCTGGCTGACGGAAGGGATGGCCAGTGGAAATATATCCGGCTTGCGCGTCGTCGAACTCCACCTCGAGACTGGGAGCGCGCGCCCGGTTGGTCTTAGCGACCTTGTGGTCCTCCGAGTGATCGTCCCACGTGGAGGCCGAAAGCTCGGAAAGCGGAAGGACGACGATCTCAGATAAAGGAGGGGCTGATCTGAATGAGACATTGCTCTCGAAGCGGACTTGGAAGCCTGGCGTCTTCTCGTGATCGTCGTCGTCTTGGGTGGTAATATCTTTCTCATCATCAATGACTAACCGACCAACTTCGTTCCATTGCCCCCGGCTGGAATCGATTCCCAGTCTTCCCGCCGAAGAGCTCAGGCTGCCAAAACCGGACCTGTCACTGAAGCTATCTTTCAATCTGCCGAGCAGAGATGAGACCCCGGTTGTGGCAAAGCGGGTGGATGGCTCCTCCGGGCCATTGTCGTATTTGTACGCGTCTCCAGCCTCGTCAGCATACATAAGTTCCTCCATCAACTCATCGATATCATCAGTCTGTAAATGAGACTGTCGTGAGTTGAGAGAATCCTGACGTTGGCCGCGGCTGTTCTTTGAGCGGTATTTGCCGACGCCCAAGCCAGGTGTAACAATCCGGTCGGTACCCTTCTTCTTGGATGTCTGGGTGCCCCAGAGCCAGCCTCGTTCCTCGTCGATTTCCTCGACTGGATCTGAGCTACCGAGATTGAATGGCATTCGGCTCTGTCTGGGGATCGAGCGAGCAAACGGGTCCAAGGGAGCATAGACCAGCTCATTGGTCGAGATTTCGATTTGCGGCACCTCTCGCATGACGAG